TGTTCAGACACATCGCTGCCAATACCATAAAAGGCAAGGTATTGGCACAGGCCGAGCGATGTGTCTGACGTCACTACCAAAACGAAGCGATGCGACGCATCGTCCGGCTAGTTTTAAGTTTAAAATGTATCACCAGAATAAGACACGGCTTGGCCGAATAAACACACACAAAACATTACTCCGCTGCGTTTCATTGTACTTTATTTTGTTTTAGTTCATTTAGGCCGTTTTATGGGTTTCTAGGTAAGTAACCATGTTTAGCCCGAACAGATTCATTCAAAGTGTGGAAATTCATTAGAGGCGAAAAAGGCACAAACAAATTGGAAATATCCTTTTGTTCTTTTTGTTATCGCTATCGCATGTCGTGTGAACATAAACTGTTCGCCTACTCGTGGCTTTGGAATGTGTTTCGGTTGTATTGTAATATCGGAAACAATGCCTTCAAAAGAACACATAATTTATTTAAAACTGACGATATTTAGAATTTCATCATTATTGGAGAGCCATTTTCTTGTGTTTGTTTCGGTGCAAGTGTAAAATTGAACCATGCTATTGACATTTTACAAATAGAAAATGGAATCAAATTTATCGGTCACTTGGTTGGTCTCGGGCTGATAAACTCAAAATGGAGCATCGATTTTCAATGTGCCGATTGCACTTAAAATGCTAATTTTAACGATTGCTTACGGTATGGTCGACGATCATTGGTGGTATAGAAAATGCCTTTTGTCATTGTCGCTTAATGTAAATGGCGACATCATGTCGACAGCGAAATAGCGAATGCATTTTTATTGATGCAATTCATCACATGAATTATTGAGTCGTACAAACGGCGATTGATGCCCGTATGACTAGTCACCGTTGAACAACAACTTACTTAGTAAAACAGTGTTCGATTGACATATGTCTCTCTTTTTCTAGAACAACTTCGTTCGGAACCTGTTATTAAACATTGAATGCACCGAGACCAACTTGCATATTATTTCTCCCTTTTTTCCCATTGCAATTCTGTTTTGAATGATGAAATTTTTTTTTTCTTGAACCGTTTTTTTCTCGAGTAGATGACGACTCTTTTGCATCGGAACGTGATGCCCAACCGACCGATGACAGTGTAACAACGTTTGTTTTCAACGCACATCACTCATTGGCGATCGAAGCGCAACGCGACCGTCTTCCGATTCGTAAATATCGAGATCAAATTCTATACTGCTTGGAACAGTATCAAACATTGGTTTTGGTTGGTGAAACGGGCTGTGGTAAATCAACACAAGTCCCTCAGGTAATGATTGTGACTTTCGTTATTTCTCATTTGCAACGTTCTAGAGAATCTCGCTAAATAAACTCCATGATTGAAATTTTCCAATTAAATCAACTTAGCCAGTTATAGTTGTTTGTCACTACATACTATGCGTAATTTGCACACTGGTTGTATCCAACTCTCCTATTCACTTTGAATTTGACAACTGATATTGAGCGCAAACACCACCTAGATAATCTAAGGCTAATAACAATAAAATCAAGTAAACTGTCCGTTCTGTCAAACGTCATACTGAAGTATAACATACAGACATCACGAACTCGCCATCGGTTCTTTAGATGGCGCTTCGGTCAACCGAGTTCCAACCAAATACATGTATCAGTATACGAAGCATTCCACTGTTGATTGTATCACACCATTCGATCTGCTTCAAATACACGCGACACAGGTCAATTAATCGATTTTCGTTCGATGCAATCCATTTTCATACAGAACAATCATACTTGGTGTATTTAAAAAAATTATATTTTTCGAACACAACTGCAATCGACAATGAAAAAAAGCACCAGAGGATAAAAATGTTTTAAAAAAACTGTGATTATCAGGATACAAGCGATTAGTTTTGATTCAGGCTTGAATAAATCATTATTGTGTAGACAAAAATAGAACGCCATTATTACAGCCATTAAGTAGTCATTCAGATTTTATCCACATCGATAGACATCTTTAATAATGAAGTCATTCATAAAGATTTTATTATTAAGTCGTGATTTCAATTGCGAAATGGATTTTATTCGATTTGTAGTTTATTTGAACGCAGTTGAACAATGATGAAAAAAAACAAGAGGAAATAATCAAATACAATCCAAGTAGAACATAATTTCAAGTTCGTATTGGTTCTCTTTGGCTCCGGTTAGCCTAGCGCTGCCATATGGCTACACCCAGAGGTTACTCCATTCCTATTAGGATAAAAACCGAACTAATTTAAATATTGTTTAGTGTAAGCCCGTTTTGGATTCTAAGAGAATATCACTTTCAAATTGTAGATTACACACTGGAATAACTTCAAGAGTTTAAAAATGCCAACATCATAAAGTTGACTCATTTTGTGTGACACACTCTCAGTGTGACATATTTTCGGATTATCAAAAATGACGAAAACCTAATTTCTCTATAAGGTTCTTTTTTAAATAATATTTTAAGAGCTCTAATCGATGATATATTTTATTAACTTGAAAAAATTTGTGCCCACTGTTTTTTTTTTGAGTCATCGTTTTTGATTAGAACAAGAACAACAAAAGTCAATATCTGGTGAACCAAGGCCTTAATCTAGAATTAAAAATATTACTTTTTTGTTTTTTAGCACTTAAAGATTATATTCCAAAAAGATTTCCAAAATTGGAGTGTAAAAAAAATGTGCCTGGACCGATTCCAGTTAATAGACAGTTGCTTTATTTTTAAATTCATACTAATGAATCACATTCAGAGTGAATATTTGCCATGAACCACCGTTGTGAAATGCATTCAATTTTTGCTTCATTTTAGCTTATACCCTAGTGATGCAAGCACAACAAATCGCAACACACATGCATTAAAATCGAATGATTTAACATTTGAACAACACATTTCTTTTACATAAATTTAATAATAATAAATTTGCATTGTTGTCTATTTATTGACTGATTTTCATATCTGCTCTTTTCAGATCAACAACTGGCAATTGATCGTATAGTAAACGAAAGCGCGATTCACAGCAACAAAATTTATCGTTATTGCCGTTCACGCACATTAAATCTATAAATTGTCTTCATTGCAACAAACAAACACAAAAAAAGAAAACATTTTTGAAATTAAGAATCTCTGTTAAGCACGCACGGGTGAAACAAGTGAAGTTAACTATTTTATGTGCATTGCAAATTATTAAATTTATGTAAAAAGAAAGTAAAGCAAAACAAAAAGCAACAGAACATAGCAAACGTAAAATCGTATCGATTAATTGGACAATTTTTAACCGATATCGCACACACAATCAACAACCAAGGCAACAATGATTGGACCAAGTTCATGTATCAGCAAAATTTTGCTAACCGCATTTTTCGTGTTGGTCATTTGGTACATATACATGGATGTGAATTTGTATTTGCGCATCCAAAACTACCCCATCGAACGAAATTATCACTTCAATGAAACGGTGGACATATCGAACGATGCGGGCCACTTATCGACGTCGACGCTATCGTCAGCAGCCGGCGAACCATCACATAATATCGATTCCGTGTCAAAGCGACCGATCACATATGACGATGTTGCGTGGTTTTCATGCGACATCGATCCACTTTGCCATGTCACCGTTAAGGCCATTTTGTTGGATCACACAAACCACTATTTGTTTGCACCGATGGCAACTATTTTTGACAATATCGTTGGATTTTCCCGATCCACATTCATTACGGCGAATATGATATCATTTTTCCACGTATTTGTCGCCATTCTTGCTGGTCGTATGGTCGCTTCGGACAGTTTGTGCTATCGACGTATTGGCGTTGTGTTGTTCCAATTTCGTACATTTTTAGACGATTTGGATGGTCACGTTGCACGTCAAAAGAAACATATTCGTGGTGAACGCTCCGAAATAGGTACTGCCGGTTACTACATTGATGGGCTGTGTGATGGTCTTGGCTGCATTGCACTAATGATTGGTGTGTTTGTCTTTTTGCGGAATAATCCACCGCGACGCGGTTACACACAGCTGCAAGCAATCTTGCCAACGACTAACGAAACCGCAAAAAGTTCATCGGAAACTGGGGTCACGTACAAAATAAAGGTAACAACGAAAAAGGTAGCACGAAAAATTGTCTGCTTCTCCGGCCAATTGCTGCTCAGTTCAACGGGCTGGAATCGATACATCGCCTTGTATCAGGATATGCTCGAACGTAATGACGTGACGCAGACACAGTACAAACGCCAGAACATCATAATGCGATCCAAATGGTTCTTTAGCATCGCTTGGTTGTGGCGAGTTTTCAACGTGCACGCACTCTTGCATTGCTTACTGTTGAGCATTTTCTGCGACAAACTCTGGGAATTTTTGCGTTTGATTCAATATATTGGGTTTGTTATTTTGTTAGTCATCATTTGTGCCACTGAAATGCATGTACTCGAAGTGGAATCATTCATTTTTACAACGCTCACCGGCAACAATACCGCACTGTGATTGAATAATTGATAATTAAAAAGAGCGACCGAATAAAAAAAAAATCTATGATAGTAGATAGTTTAAATGAAGGAATCTAATATTCAAGTCTGCTTTTTGTCGTTGCTGTTTATGTTGACATTTCCTGTTTTGGCCGAATCTCTAGCTTTTGTCGCAGTACAGTTCATTCTTTATACAAATTAACTACGTCTATAACTGTAATTATTGTTTAATTCTGTTGTTTCTCATAAGTAATTTTTTTCTAGTTTTAATGATAATTTTTCTTCAGTTTTTTTTTTTAATTCAGTGGCAGATGACGTCACTGTATAGAATTTAAAAAAATATAACAAAATACATATGAAACAAAACCGCAATATTGCGATACACACTCAGCTCAGAAATATGTCCGTACAAATCAATAGCAGAAAAAAAAACAGATATTTTACAATAAATAGCCCAGACCAAAATAATGAAAAATAACTGAATAAAACAATGATATTATATCAGACCAATTCAAATTGTAAATAAAACCGTTTGAGTCTCAGCTCGTAACGAAAAAGAGGGATATTTTTATAAAATAAGAGGTTGAAAAATAATGATAAATCATGTTGTTGATTGTGTCGCTGATTGTTTTAGTTTCTAATATTACTTTTCGAATGCCACTTGCCCCATGAACAAAATATACCTTTACAGAAAATGAACATGATGTTTGAAAAAAAGAGAAAAAAAATTTCATATATTTTTATGCAAGTATTTATTGTGAGCATATACACAGAAAGAGAGAGAGAGAGACAAAACGTATACTGATGGCACTTTGGCTGCAAATGGAACTAACCGATATAGATTAAAATGAGAAATCTCGAAAACAACATGTTCTAAATGTATACTAATTATTTTGATTAAACTTAGCTTAACTAAAATTGCAACGAAAGTGCATTAAACGAATAAACCGCTAAACACAAATGAACTATGTAAATAGACGTGTGCACGTGAACACTGGTTTTAATGCTGTCAAATAAGATGTTTTTTTATAAGGACAAAAATGGATAAATACAATTCCGAATGTCAAAATATTTAAGAAACATAAGTTCGTTTCGTTACTTTGATGTCCAAAATGAAAGATTTAACACACACAAAAACGGCTACATCAAACCAAGTATAAGCATTTTAGTCAGAATACAAACTCAGTCTTAAATTTAAAATTGTTTTTTTCCGGCATTTTTTTTTTTCAATTCTCTCGAATTCTAATTGATATTAGTCTTGCCAAAAGAAACGTACTGACATTTCGTTTATTTTTGTTTTTGAAAAAAAAAAAAAAGAAATTCAAAGTCAAAATTAAGAGAAAAAAATTAAAATGGTTTTTCATTTTAAAATTAGGAACAATTCATATTCTAATCAAAATGAATAAATGCTAAATGATATGGATATGAAGAGACAGCTTTATGCGCACATATGTTGTTGAATAGCTTGAAGAATAAATAAAAAATGACGTTAAATCTTTACACAGAGAGAAATCACAGTGCATTTGAAAATTAAAATGTTGATATTTTTATAAACATTTTTCCATTGCTCGAATTTAACTAATTTTGAATTCCAAATAAACAATTTTGAACTTTTGCTGCATTTGAGAAAAAACACCAAATATGAATCTCCATCACATATAAATTGTGATTCAGAAATTGTTCGAAGAAAATTGACAAAGAAAATATATATTCAAAATTGTGCATTATATTCAAAAGATAAATATATTCAACGGTGCACTGAAAATAGCATATTTCAGATGAGTCGTTGAAAATTCTTCTATTTCGAACTTCTTCAAATATGTATTCACACAAATGTTGGAAACAAATGATGTATTTGATCATATTTTATCGAATAGTCTCTTTTGTCAAATAGTCAAGAATTTTTTTTTTCAAAAAAACCCACCAAAATAGTAGATGTTCATTCTGAAATGTTTAACATATGAACATTTTTTGAATTCACTTTGGATTGATTTGGATTTACCGATAAACACATATAAAGCAAATAGAACAGTGCAAATGATGCAAATTAATAAGTTGAAGTTAATAATTGGAATAAAAAAAACCAACTGAAATCAAAATACAGTGTTTTAATTATGTGCAAAATGTTAATGGCAATTTTTCTTATGCAGAATAAATCATGAAAAATGAAATAAACGTTATGCCTTTTTTGCAGTATCTGTACGAGTTCGGATGGCATTCAAAAGGAATCATCGGCGTTACGCAGCCACGACGCGTTTCGGCAATGACTGTAGCCGACCGCGTTGCAAATGAACGTGGAGAGGCACTAGGAGGTACGGTCGGTGTCTCAGTTAGCTTCATTGACAAGTGCAGCGAGTATACGCAAATCAAGGTAAACATTTCACAAGAATCCTATTCCAAATTTCAAAGATTACTGTATTCAATTCGCAAATTCCAGTTCATGACCGAAGGTATTCTACTGCGCGAGATGCTTGCCGATCCGTTGCTACAGAAATACGGTATAATAATGATTGACGAGGCACACGAACGAAGCCTTTTGACCGATACCGTGTTGGGTCTTCTCAAGAAAATCATGAAGAAGCGCGAATCCTTGAAAGTAATCATCTCTTCGGCTACAATTGATGCAGAATTTTTCAAAAAATTCTTCACAATCAAGTCAAAGTTGAATTCAGCGGCTGTTCTGTCGGTGGAGGGTAAAATGTATCCTGTGGATTGTTTCTACATCAAGGAACCTTGTGCTGATTACGTAAAGGAGACTGTGAACACGGTTTTGAAAATACACGAGAAAGAGGCGAATAAAGTTGGCGACATTTTGGCGTTTTTAACAGGCCAAGAGGAAGTTTTAGACGCCGTACAACTGCTGAAAGAGCACACTCAAACCTGGACCAATAACAATTTGCAAATTCTACCCATGTACGGAACATTGCCGAATGCTGACCAGCTGAAGGTGTTCTTTTCGGCACCAAAAGGTACGCGAAAGGCAATTATCGCAACCAATATTGCCGAAACTTCTGTTACAATTCCCGGTGTTTCATACGTCATCGATTGTGGCTTCGTGAAAATGAAATGGTTCGATGTAAACAGCAACACCGATTCATTGGTTGTAATTCAGATAAGCAAAGCGCATGCCGAGCAAAGAGCCGGTCGTGCTGGTCGTTTGAACAACGGAAAAGTGTTTCGATTATACACTGAAGAATCGTATCAAAAGCTTCCCGCTCAAATACCGCCGGAAATGAGACGATCCGACTTGTCAACAACGGTTTTATACCTCAAAGCGCTCGGCATCGACAACGTTCTTCGTTTTGATTTCCCAACCAAACCACCGCCAAAGAATTTGCTGTCCGCTTTGGAATTGCTTTTAGCATTGGGTAAGTTATTGAATGTGTTTTACAAAAATTAATCTTGCGTATCATTTTCCATATCTAATTTTCAATCATTATTCTAACAGAGGCCCTCGACCACAAGGGAACACTTACCGAACCGGTGGGCTATTTCTTAGCAGAGCTCCCAATTAGCCCAATGATGGGAAAAATGCTGTACAACTCCATACAAATGGCTTGTTCTGAAGAGATACTTAGCATCATTGCTATGCTCCAAGTTCAGACGGTGTTTTCAAAGCCAACAACGGGTCAGGGTCAAATCACAGCACGAGTCAAAAAGAGAGACTTCGAAGTGGCCGAAGGCGATCTCATCACATTGCTCAATGTGTACACAAGTTTCGTTGCTGCGGGCCGAACAAAAGAATGGTGCGGTCAACACTATGTCATTTACAAAAACTTGAAAAGAGCGCATGAGCTGCGCGAGCAGCTAGCAAAATTATGCCGAAACAAAATTGGAATGCCTTTGATATCGTGCCATGGTAACGTAGATGTGCTTCGTAGATGTATCACAAGCGGATTTTTCCCAAATGCAGGTTCGTGTACAATTGAATGCGTTTTATTTTGTATCATTTTTTTTTAATGAAACCAATTTAGCAAATCAGAATACAGAATTGAGCAATTAATAACACTGTCTGATACAATTTTCAGCTTATCTTCATCATTCGGGCATTTATCGAACTTGCAGAGGCAATCGAGAGATGGAGATTCATCCATTATCGTGTCTCTACACCCTTCGACAACCGCAATACATTGTCTTTTGTGAGCTGCTTCACACAACAAAGGTGTTTATGAAAGAGATCACCGTGATTGAAGGAGATTGGCTTACCGAATTGGCACCACACTACTATGTCAAGAAGGGCATCCGATATGAAGACCGTTGAAAATCAAACAATTTCTAGCTTTCATTATAACACAGAAATCAACTAAATAAAGCAACATTATCTGATAATAAAAACGTACAATCCAATTGAACAAGCCTCCGGCAGAGCTGAATGTCGTTGACTGAACTACATTAGCACATGTGCATACGTAAAAACGCCAACAAAATATTCATTTCGTCGAAAGTATATACATTCGTCAACGACCATATCATGTAAAAAGCACCAGTTCTCGTCCGATCACTGAAGTTAAGCTGCATTGAGCATGGTTAGTACTTGAATGGGTGACCGTCTGGGAACACCATGTGTCGTTGGCATTATTCTTTTTTTTTCAGTGACTAAATCGTTATTTTTTTTCAAGAATTTTAAATTATATTCAAAAAAAATTTAATGGAATGCATTTTTTTTTATGCGAAACTTATCCAATAAAAAGACTCAATGTGGTTTTGAAACTCAAGTGTTTTTTATGTCTATAAATAATTATTTATAAAAAATACGAATAATAAATTGATTGTTTTAATGCTGCATATGTATTATATAAAACATAAAATATGCGGCATTCATTGGGATAAATCAAACTTCTTCTTCCCTTGGCTTGTCTATGTGCTTCAACACTTTTTCAATATTTTGTTTTTTATTGAGTACTAGCCGAATCGGCTTCGCTCGCCGTTCGGCTAGAATTTGTTTGCAAATAATGATTCTGTTGAGGCTATGAAAATTTTGGCATTTTCTCTTCAGAAATGCCGATATTATAGCAAGTACAGTGTTATTTGATCGTAATTATATTGTTGTCGACGCCAAGAAAGCTAATATGTACCAAGAAAATCGCAGCATCGCCAAGTGTTTCCGATGCAATCATTCATTAGGAGGATTTTGCTTCTATCCAGATAGAGAAATTAACTCCGTTGTGCGATTCAATTCAATCGAAATACATACTCTGATAATTCGTCTTGCAATCAAAAACAAATTTTTGATTCCATTATTTATGTACGGTGCACTCAGCGCTTTAATTGTTGCATTTTCAATCGTAACACTTGAAGCAATTCATCAACAGCGTCTGTAGGATTAAATTATCCATGGCTATCCGCATCATCATGTGTATACTATACATATAAATAGTAATGATGAACATGAGAAAAAAATTTCGTCAAACTCCAAAAAATTCAATTCGAAAATCAAAACTGCATAATTTTAAGATGCTTCTTGAGGCCACGCGAAATCAAACGGGTAGCATAACAATAAAACCACGAATAAAAAAAAGGAGAGATAACTGGCTACATACACACACACACACACACACACACACACACACACACACACACAGACGAACATTCAGTTTTAAATATATAGATAGATAGATGTTGTTTCAGTTCTTTTTCCGCAAATTGTATTTACCAAACAGACAACTTTCGATCGTTCATCAAAATACAAATCCTAATTGGATTGATAGAACCACACGATTGATAGAAAATACTGCTTTTGAACGGTGAATGGGGTCAAAATATGCTACAATTCTTATAATCATCATCAATAGTTTATTCAATACTATAGTGCCGTCTCTATTTGAGAAACAATATGGGCTTAAATTGTGAAATTCGAATATTCGTTGATAAAAATTCGAGTATCAAGTCATAAAAATCATCAATTGTTCTATTTGGATGGTTCAGAGCTTGGGAACTGATTAGCTACCTATTGAAATCAGTTTATTGCAGTTGATATCAATATTGCCCAATACAAAGATCGCGATTTATACAGTTTTCTCTCTTTCACACTCAATACACAGCTAAACATATCTACGCGAAACAGTAGTGATTTGACAGATCGCATAGCATTCGCCGTAAATAACATCAAGTTTTTGTTTCCTACAGTATTTGTAATGTCAGTGTATAAGTATATGCAAATGTTATCGTTGATCAACTGCCAAATATTATGGCTGTGGTGGAAAGAAATCACATATGACCATACCATAACAACTTAATATTGATGATATAAATATCAACTTTGGTTTGTTCAATTCAGTTGTCATTTAGCTCCAGTTGAGCTTCAGGTTAAACTTTTTTTTTCTTTAAAATGAGTATTATAACTGGGAATTGGAAATTGGACTTGTTGATAGGAATAATCACATTGATTTATTTCTACCTCAAACGAACGTATTCATATTGGGAACGTAGAGGTTTTGCATCACTGCCAGGAGCCAGTCTTCTGTTTGGCCACTTCAGAGCAACATTTGCACAGAAAGAGTCGGTTGGACATTTCTTCAATAGAGTATACCGCGGCACAAACGAACCATTTTTGGGAGTGTATGGATTTCTGAAGCCAATGCTACTAATAAAAGATCCCGAACTCGTTCGTACAGTTTTAATAAAAGATTTCGCACACTTTCCCGATCGTGGTGTTCATTGCAACGAAGAATATGATCCTCTATCGGCTCATTTGTTTGCTTTATCTGGTCAACGTTGGAAGGAATTGCGAGTCAAATTGTCGCCTACATTCACTTCAGGTACGTAAATTGCTCCGAATATTAAAAAAGCCGAATATTATCGTCAATAACCAATAATAATATCATTGGTAATTTTTATTTTGTAATAACAGGCAAACTTAAAGCGATGTTTCCAACTTTACTCGAGTGTGGTGCGACCTTGCAAAATTATTTGGAAAAAGTGGTGGAAAAAGATGAATTGCTTGATGTTTGTGAGATTTCCGCAAGACATTCCACGAATGTTATCGCTTCGGTGGCATTCGGTATTGATGTTGATACGATCAGTGAACCGAATCATGAATTCCGTGAAAATGGACGTAGAATTTTTGCCGCAAGTTTTTGGAATGCAATTCGATTTTTCTTAAAATTTATCTCGCCGAATTTGATGAGCCTTCTTCGAATTAAATCGGTTGACAATGAAGTCGAAGATTTCATAAAAGCAATTGTCAAATCATCGATTGAATGTCGTGAAAAAAATAATGTGGTTCGCAAAGATTTCTTCCAGCTGTTGATACAATTGCGTAACAGTGGCTCAGTGAAATCAGACGATGAATGGGATACGGTGATTAAAGCTGATGAAAACCAAAAAACGTTGACTCTGAATGAGATTTTGGCACAAACGTTTGTCTTCTTCGCAGCTGGCTTTGAAACATCATCGACAACACTTTCGTATTGTTTGTATGAATTGGCAAAGAATCCCGACATTCAGGAACGAGTGCGTGATGAAATTTACCGAGTATTAGAAGAACACGATTCTAAATTATCATATGAATCCGTTTCGGACATGAAGTACTTGGAGAAATGTATAGACGGTTAGTGGGATTTTTTTTTCAGCACATTCGATGTTTTTTTTTTTAACTATTGATGTTTATAATGTGTATTTACCCTTCTTCATACTCTAATAGAAACTCTGCGAAAGTATCCGGTGTTGCCGTTTTTGAATCGCACATGTGTGAAAGAGTGGTTGATTCCCGGAACGGATAAAGTAATTGAAAAAGGTACTGAAGTCTTCATTTCAGCGTTAGGGCTACAAAGAGATTCCAAGTTTTACCAAGAGCCAGATCGATTCAATCCGGATCGTTTGAATGAAGAGAGCGGTAAAAATCTGGTGAACAAACCGATGTTGACTTTTGGCGATGGGCCCCGTAATTGTATCGGCATGAGATTAGGCAAAATGCAAACCAAAGTTGGCCTTGTACTTATGTTACAAAAATTCAAATACGAT